CTCTTTCTGTAGTGTCATTCAAGTTTTTAATTGTCTAATGACTGGTACTTAATCTGAAAAGCTGGTGTAGCACCAAAATGCATATAAACCTGTGAAGGAAGATTAAACGTTTTGGACTTTTAAGACTATTTTTTTGGAAAGGTATTTTTTTAAGAGTTTTTTCAGCAAAAATGAAAAGTTGTGTTTTGAAAGCAAGATGGTGCTAGGACATTGGAAATAGTATTCCAGTATGTCTGTCGGGAGCTGCCACAAGATCTGTTTGGCAACTCATCACAAGAATGGCCAAATCCCTGACACGATGCAACAGCGTTAGTATCAATGATCAGGTGATGGAGTCAATGCTGACTCATAAATTAGGATACTGCTTCTTATGGCATCAGTAAGGTAATCTTCTATTTTATTATCTTGTTGTGCTTTAATTTTTTCTTGCACTATTGAAAGTTAAAGCAGGAAACAGAATTGTTGCATGCCTGCGGTCATGCATGCTATATATGTACCTACCTACTGCTTTTAAAATGCAGTTCTGTGTTTTCTAGCTCTGGAGCCCAATAGGGCTTTTTTTCCTTCTCTCTCTGTCCTGTAAAGGAAAGGGGGGAAAAAAAAATCCACTGTGTTATTTAATCACAGTGACTTTTCTGGAAGATGGCAAAACATCCCAATTAATATTGATAACATACAAAATTAAGCACTCTAATGTCTGTTAGTTTTCCTTTTGTCTTTATTGGAAATATTTTGCAATATGTAACAGTATTAAACTGATTGAAGTAATAAATGTGTTAGTTCAGAATGAAGATTATATACAGATTTCAACTTTGAATTGGTTTAAATCTCTATTTCATTGTTTCAGCAAAGCAAGTAGTAGCCAAATGTAAAGTAAATCTTCAGGTGGCATTTGAGTTTCATGTACTATTTTATTTTCCTGAGAGGTAGAGGAAATGAAATGCCAAATATTGACTGGCTTTGGGAAAGTATTAAAGACTTCAGTAATAAAAACTTTTATTAACAGTAACGAGACTCGTAGGCATCTTGCAATCGAGGGGGAAAAGTGTTTGCTAGAAATTTAATGCCAGTGCATTAATGTAGTGTGTAGGCATCTCTTCCCCTCATCTGGGACATAACAGGGTTATTCCATTTTTTACTGTAAGTCCGTGCGATTATAGTAAAATTAACATAATCTAAGTTGACTAAAAGCAATTTCCATCTGAAATATATGATTCATAAGTGTATTGTTAGATTTTTTATAAATAAAATTAATTAATTTCAGTTTAATATTAAACTGAAAATTGTATTAACTTACACTTATTTCACTACAATCTGTATGATAAACATTGATATAGTTAACTAAGTTTTGATATAGTTAACTGTAAGTAAGCAAAGTAGTTGTTTCATCACATGGAGGAAATCATAATGTGAATTATGGTATTGACGTATTTCAGTATGTCATAGATTCATTGCCTCAAGTGAGGTGGACGCCAGTACTGTTTCTGAAGTGTCAGCCTTTTTAATGTGGGGAAAAATGCTTTGGAAGCAATGAAAACCTAAACTTTGTGTATGTATCCAACTCAATAATGACAGTGTTTAAGAAGCATTTAGCTTGCTACCTTAATTACAGAACTGGTTTTGTACCAAGTTTTTATATCTATTTTCATCCAAATGCAACAGTATCAATCATAGATTTAGAATTAGTCTGTCATTAAATAGGGGACATCTTTACTTCTCAGTACCTTACTACATTTGTAACAACTAGAAACAATGTACTACATTATAAAAAAGACTGAATGTTCATAGTTAGTGTATCTTCTGATTAGAGTTGGTGCCAAGTCAAATTTAAAAGTCAGGTGTAGTTGTAAGAAATCAAATAATTTCTCTTGTTATAGTTAACCTAACAACCTCAAATTTAAACTATTGGTAGGAAAATTACTTTGAAGTAGAGATAAAAAAATGATTCATGTGCTACTACTAAAATTTAATTCTAAGCCCAGATGATTTCGAACTACTGATTTGCAGAAATTTGCATGTCAGTGGGCTTTTGAGGAATGGGAGGTATGCGTTGTGGGTTGGTCTGTGTTGTAATTCAAATGAATTTGTTGAGAGTTGAGCATAAGTTATGTGCTGAGCACGTCAAATAGGAATAGAAGAGGGGCATTCTGTGCATTAAAACAATCTACCTGTTTCATATACATCCTAGAAAACCCAAACTTCTTTAATCCTGTTGTTGCGATATAGAAATTGTATTTAAATGCCTTATCCTACTGGGGTTATAAAATCACTTGGAATTTGATGCCTTTTTGGATGCCTTTCTGGAAGCATTCAATCCAAGCTGCTAGGTTTTGTTTGTCTATTTTTGTTGCTTTTTCTTTTTTCCTAGTAGTCCCTGTTGGTGCAATTGTGTTGTGAAATAATCTCATTCAGCTTCTTCGAAAGGCCGTTAATACGGTTTATGTTGCTGTGCCTGTTTCAGACCAGTTGTCAGTGCCAGAAGAGGAGAAGTCAGTATTACTTCTGGATATTGAGTCTGTTATTACTTTTTATTGTAAATCACGCAATGTTAAATACAGTTCCTGCCTTGGCTGGATACATCTGCTCAGACCTCTGGTGCACCTTCGTTTGCCACGCAGTGATTTGTACAACTGCTTTTACGCTATCATGAATAAATTCATTCCAAGGTAAAACTTTCTTTATTTTACCTGTGTGCTGTTTTTATTGGCATTAAAAGTATTTTCTGAAAGGATGTGCAAGTTGATTTTGGTTAGAGTAGCACTGTTAGTAGCAAAGTTATCAGATTCCTTCATATGATAGTGAATTGAACCATCTTTCAATGCCTGTTGATTTGAAGTCCAGGAGATGACTGAGTTGGTTAAAGATGTAAGGAGTTAGCATGTGACTGATGTGGACCTGATATGTCCTTTAAAAAACAACTCTCATTTCATACAATATCAAAAATATTTGTTTAGGAACTATCTAGTTCACGTATGTTATGTGAAAGCATTTTTTCTTTACTTTCCTAGCATTTTTTATATCAAAAATGCTTTTATCCCTATCACTTCGAAGTACTTCATAAGTACTAATTAAAGTCTCCAAGTATCTTCAGAAGTAGTTGATATTTTCCTTGTGTGATGCTGTGTTGAGACTGAAATGTTCGGTGGTTTTTTTAAGTTGTTAGATTATTATTTTTTTTAATAGAAAATATGAAAGTGGAGCTTTTCATGCTGTCATACAGGGGCTCTCACTAAACTAATTTTTTATTTATGTTGCAGTAGCACCATGGTGCTCCAGTGAGGCTACAGGGTCTTCTGATTAAGACCTTTTGAAAAGGTTTCTGACTGGAAAAGGGGAAACATAGCCTCCGTTTTTAAAAAGGGAAGGAGAAAAAAAAAAAAGACGACCCAGGGAACTACAGGCCAGTCAGTCTCACCTCTGTGCCCGGCAAGATCATGGGACAGATCCTCCTGGCGTCTATGCTAAGGCACATAGAAAATAAGGAGGTGTTGGTGACAGCCAGCATGGCTTCACTAAGGCCAAATTGTGCCTGACAAATTTGGTGGCCTTCTATGATGGGGTTACAGCGTTGATCAATAGGGGAAGAGCAACTGACATTGTCTGCCTGGACTTGTGCAAAGCATTTGATACTGTCCCACACGACATCCTCTCTAAATTGGAGAGGCATGGATTGGACAGATGGACTACTCTGGATAAGGAATTGGCTGGATGGTCGCGCTCAAAGAGTTGTGGTCAACAGCTCAATGTCCAAGTGGACGCCAGAGACAAGTGGTGTTCCTCAGGGGTCAGTACTGGGGCCAGTGCTATTTAACATCTTTGGTGACATGGAGAGTGGGATCGAGTGCACCCTCAGCAAGTTGGCAGATGACACCAAGCTGTGTGGTGTTGTGGACACACTGGAGGGAAAGGATGCCATCCAGAGGGACCTTGACAGGCTGGAGAGGTGGGCCCGTGCGAACCTCATGAAGTTCAGCAAGGCCAA